TGCCCTCAATATACTGCCTAAATTTCATCCAGCTTCACAAAGCTCTAGTGAGTGTGGGGCAAAGCTTCAGTTTTCTCATGATAAATGCATGTGGGAATGGCATCTGATAGGGTTAGACAATTACATAAGAGAATGCAGGTAAAGTACATAGCGAAACGCCCACACAGAGTAAATGCTCGGTAACTGGCTATGACTGGGCCCTGTCGGGTGCTAGGTGCTGGGTGAAATGTCCGTCTTGCAGGGTGAGAGAGATACCTATGAAGTTGGAATAGAAAGCATGTTCAGTGAATGGACCTTTCCCTTTCTGTTGACAGGAGGAGGCATGGGGACACATGCAGATCAGTGACATGCTGAGCAGAAGCCGGAGAGCTGCCTGTGTCCTCACCTCCACAACTGAAGACCTCCCTCCCAGGCTCGGGGGGTGTGAGTGGCGGACCTGCCTCATGTGGAAGAGAGCCAGCTGCCCGCCTCCAGTCCCCACCCCTTCTCAGGGCACCAATGACTCGATTCCAGGGACTGACATGAGGACGGAAAGGCCCAGCCCTCAGTTCTAATTCAGGACAAGTCTGAAGGGCCACCCCAGCTCCAGAGTTCCCGAGAGTTCCCGAGAGGTGAGCTTTCTGGGAGACGGAAATGCGGTTCGACTTCTCCCCTTGCCCAGTCCTGCTTCTCTCACTCCCCACACGTATTGATCCCAGGATCCGCTGCCTCCAAATCTGTCTCGGAGTCTGCTGCCTGGGGAAATGACTTATGACACTTGCCCAAAGTCAAAAAGCTAATGAGAGATCAAAAGGGGATTTACTACAGATGGGCCAGCATAACTCCACAATTACACACTGGGCAGAGAGACCGAGTGAAAGGAAGAAGCCAAGGCTCTGTAAGGTAATGTTATAAATAATACCCTAACCTAGTCTAAAAGGGCCTCCTGATTCTGCGGATCCAAGTAAAACGGAGGAATCTCTACTAAAGTTGGGCTGTCTTGAATCAAGGGAGCATCCCTCCCTCTGTGGAGGGAGGAAAGGAGTTGGAGGAGAGGAGGGGAGGAGAGGGTTATGAAGAAGGGGTTTCCCGGGATGCTTCTGATTTCCCTGCAGAAGCAGAGAGACTAATTGGTCAAAAGGGCTTAAAAAGAGAAAGGTTCTGGCCTTTTGTTTTGTATGAGAGGAAACTATACCCAGAGGGACCCTTCACTGACTGAGGGTGCAAAGTAACAGAGTCCAGTCCAGGCCTCTTCGTGGCCAGAGCCCTCCAGCTTTGTCTTCGATGTGTGATTCTGACATTTTATGTAAAGTGTAAGCCCAGAAAAGACTCCTATCTACTCCAGTCCAAGTACAAAGTATATTATAAAACTAAAGGTGACTTGAATTGAGCCCCATTGACACTGACCCTCCCGTTAGGGAGGGTAACCGGGACCTGACGGGGTGAAGAGTTTTCACGGAACAGCTTTACCCAGCAGTCGGAATTCATTATCTACACCTCTAACTACACCGGCAGTTAAAGCCCTTCAAATATTGTAACTTAATGGCCTTATCTCAAAATCAGGATAACGATTATTATCTCACTCAACAGGGTGCCGTAAGGACGAAATGTTGGACGGCACCGATCCATTCTGAATGCCACACAGACAAACAGCACAACGTCCCACACAGCCGCTGCCGGCAGGTTGATGCTGTTCGGAAAGAGCCTGAGTAAGACATACAGCACTTAGACATCTGTCTCTGATCAGGAGGCCAAGATGTAAACTGAGGGTTAGTAATTTAATAAAAACATTTCAATTGAAGTAAGAAAAGCTTTGAAAAAAATCCCTGTGATAGGCACATTTACCTCCAAGTAAACTCTAAAATCTTTAATGGAAAAACAACAAAACAAAACCAAACAAAAATAGTGTAACGGAAGGAAAGTTCAAAGAAAACTATGATGACCTTTATAATATTTTATAATTATTCAAATAAAATAGGACAACCATAACAAATAAGAAAAATATCAAGGCCATTTTTACACATTTTAAACTGGTTCTAATAGGTACTAACTACATCATTCATTTTTATATACTATTTCTTGCTTGCTACAAATCTCTTAGAATCTCTCTTTCTTTTGGTTCCATGAAATAGCCGTACATATAATTTGCTAAGAATTATATTTTGCATTACCACATCTAGTCTTTTACCCAAAATGCTCCAAGAACAAACTTGGTCCCACGACACTTAAATATTTAAAATGTTTGGGTGTGTTTCATTTGCTTTGCTGGGGAGAGCTGAGGGGCACCATGCAAAACCCCTCCCACAGCTAAGCTTAGCTCGGGGTTTCCCTCGAGTCAGAAATAGTCGTTAGGGCCCCTTGATGTGCACTAAGACCCTTCGATTCTTTCATCAATTCCCAAGGCTTCTTTGAAAATTTTCTATTTCCACTTGCCACAGCATTTTAATTTCTCCTTTTCTCCTAACCCATTTCCTCTTTTTCTAGTCTCAGTACTTATAATTTGCAGATGAAATTAATATATAGAAGAAAAGACTTACAGAAGGAAGTGAACAAATATCAGAATTTCATATGAAGATAAATGTGGTTAGAAAAGGGATAATAACAGTACTAGCCTAGGTAACCAAGACAATGCATTAGAAACTAATCTGCCTAGCAACCAGCCAATAGCTTGGGTGCAATCAGTCACCCACTTATAAACTTATGATGTTCCTGTATTTATGTGTAGACACTTACATTTGGCTATGGGAAAATTCCAGAGAAAAGCATTTATGTTCATTTTCCTTGCAGAAAAATACAAAATACAAAAGAATATTGTTGAGAAATTATACAAAACATGTTGGATAAACTCAGTGGTTTTCTAAATAAGTAACTCCCTTCAAATGGGAACATCTTAAGAGTTTTCATGAAAGCATGAATAGTTGTAAGACATAGTTTAAAGAAATTAATTTCTGGGTGCTAAATAAGCAAATGACCACCTTCCCTAACTGTCAGGGTAGAAATGATCTCTCTTCAAGTAAAACAATCAGATGTAAGATTTCTGACTTCTAAGGGAAGGTCTGGCATGTATTTTTTAAAAATGGATAATAATGGATATAAAATATTTATAGTAAATATTTTATTATTATATTAAAAAGAACAAAAGCTTAACTTTAAATGTCAATAATCATGATATCCCCCAAATTCTATTATTTACAAATGTTTCAACTTAGAAATTTCTTGATACTCATAGGGAGAGGGTGAGCAAAAGGCTTTGAAAGCCACCAGACTAAATAAACCACTCCAAGATTCGCTGACCTCCCATTTCCTAACGCCAAGATTGTGAACACGGAGCTGTACCTGTCAGTCCCAGACACAAAGAGTGAGTGACACAAAGAGGCAGGCCCAACCGAGGAGCCCTTTGTAGAGTTGGGCAGATTGGAGCAGGGGGTCACCAACGACAAGCAGGGAACTTGCAGAGCTGAGTGAGAGGCAGGAGCCCTGCGAGCTGGCAAGTGTGGAGGAGGGAAAGTGTGGGTGCCCCAATGGAAAACGCAAAGGGCAGGGGTTTTCAGGGCACAAGTGGCTCGCATTCAAATTCGAGTTTTACCACTTTTTGGCTGAGTCACTTGGAAGAAATTACTTTCCATTTTGAAGGTCAAGTAAGAGGATAGAAAAGAAAGTGCTTTCTAAATATAAAGTGATAACACAGGTTAGTCATTTAGACCTTTTCCACTAGGAACCACTGACCAGTGGTAGTTTGCATAATGGTCAAAATCATGAGCTGTGGAACCCACAGATGGTGCTCGGCCCAAACCTGAATTTCCTAGAGCCTTGAACTCAGCCAGGTGGCCAGGCCTTTCTGTGCCCCACTGACTAACCAGTAAAGTGGAGATAACAGGGATGCCCACCATCAAAGGTGACTATTGAGGCTCGTGTGAGTTAATACTGCATGTAAAGAGCTTAAAATTGTGCTCGAAAGAATTAGTACCTTTATTATTATTGTTGTTGTTACTCCCTGATTCTCACTGTCAAACGGAGATCAAGAGATTACCAACCCAAATAAATATATGTTAGGAGCAAAGGTGGGGTGGGGGCAGGGCAGCTAAGTCTATACCAGGGCTTTAATAATAAAAGCCTCTCCAGAAAATAATAATGATAAAAGCCTCTAATACAGCTCCTTGGTTTCACAGTAAAAAATATTCGACAATGATTCAATGAAGTTCTCTGCTGTTATAGCTACCGAAGGAACATAGCACATCTTTTTCCTTTGCTAAAAGGCTGAAAATCCCAAAAGAACACATTTGCAATTCGTTCTACAAAGAACATCTTGTGATGCAGCAATATTTGGTAGGATTGTATTTGGTCCTTAAGATGACACGGTGTTGGAAATCATTTTGCAACATTGCAGAAACATTTTGACCTTATATAAAGAAGTCCCTACTCTGAAGCACCAAAAGACACTGTAAGTAAAATGCCCTCACCTATAATTAACATGCCAACTACAGAACCGAAGCAATGTGGCACCAGCCCTCTGAGCTCTGGTTGTAATTTTTCATAATTCTAAAACTGGTATTGGAATCTTTTAAAAATAGAGGTAATTCTCACTTCCTTATTCATGCTGTTGAAAACGTAAAAATTTTTTTAAAGAAAAAAATTGGTGGTCCAGGTCCACCCCTGACTTTTCTAATCACGTTCTGGACGAGTTGCATAGTTTCTCAGAAATTATTTTATAAGTTACAAGTTTTAACGTAAAGCTAGCTTTCATAAGTTTTGGCTAAAATCTTGAGCAAACTCTGAAAACACAAATCTCAGACATGTGTTATTTTAGGAAATGCATTTAAAAACCACATTTCAACTTTTAAAAAGAGGTTTGGGTAAGTAATGACACAGGTAGTATGCCAGAGAAATTGTACTGCTTTCTAACTTCATTTAAGCGTTCTGTTTGAATTGAAACTCAGGATATGTTCGATATTCTTGCATTCTGTCAACAAATAATATGCACTGAGAAGCAATACATCAGCAATAGGAATTTTAAAACTTACAAGTGTGTCTGGCCAAGGAGTAGTTGGATCCACCACTGGTCAAACCAAATCCCTCAGGAATTTGACTAGAGCTTCGCGGTCTGGTCAATAGTTTAGGAGGCTCGATTTCGGCACCAAATTCAGCTCCTATCACGCCCAGTAAAACAATAGCTGTAGCTTGTTTCCTTCTTTCCTCATAAGATGTAGAAATTTTTTTCATTTGTGGGATGCTTGATAAACAACCTGAAAATCAAAATGTAAGACTATAACTTAATGTCAATACAAAATAACATACGATTAGAAAAACATTCCATATTACTCATTCAGGAAAGAACAGTCTTTTCACAAAATGGTATTGGGACACCTGGTATCCACATACAGAGGAATATGCTTGGACTTGTACCTCTGATCTTGCAGAAATTGTACTCAAAATGGATCATGGCTCTAAATATAAGAGCTAAAACTGAAGAACTTGCAGAAAGAAATATGGATGATTATTTTCATGATTTTCGGTCAGGCAATGCTTTCTTAGATATGATACCAGAAGCAAAAGTAATTTTAAAATAGTTTTTAACTGGACTTCATCAATATTAAAAATGTTTGCACTTCAAATGACAATATCAAGAAGGTAAAGACAATACATAGACTGAGAGAAAATACTGTCAGTCACACATCTAAAAAGGGATTATATTCACAGTATATCCTACGACTCAACAATAAGAAAATCCACCTTGAAAAATGGGCAAAGAATTTGAATAGAGAATTCTTCAGATATATGCATGGCCAATAAGCACATTAAAAGATGCTCAACATCGCTGGTCATCATGAAAACGTATATGAAAACACAATGAGACATGACTTCACACCTACTGGGATGGTTGTGATAAACAGGATGAGCAATAAATAACATGTGTTGTTGAGGACACACAAGAATTGAAACCCTCGTGCATTGCTGGGGGGATGTCGAATGGAATAATCACTTTAGAAGAGTTTGGCAGTTCCTCAAAAAGCTGAACAGAGTCACCATGTGGCCGGACGACTGCACTCCTAGGCATCTACCCAAGAAAAATGAAAACAAATGCAGACACAAAAGCTTGTACATGAATGTTCGCAGCAGCACTATTAATAGTCAAAAAAACAACTCAAATGTCCATCAGTGAACGAAAGGATAAACTAAATGTGGTATATCCATCCAACAAAATATTCAGTAGTAAAAAGGAAGGAAATACTGATCCATGCTGCATGTGGGTGACCTTGAAGACATTATACGGTCCTTACAAAGAATCACACCTTGTGTAATTCCATTTACATAAAAGATCCAGAATAGAGAGATCGGCAGAGAGAGAAAGTAGATTAGTGATTGCCCAGGGGTGGGGCAGGAGTGAAAGGGTTAATGGCGGCTAATGAGTGCCAGTGTTTTGAGGTGATAAAGTGTTATAAAATCAGATCATGCTTATATCTGTACAGCTCCAAATATACTAAGAATCAATTCTACATTTTAAAAGGATGGATTTTTAAAAATATAAATTTTACTTCGATTAAGTCTCTTTTTAGAAAAGATTGCTCATCAATTTATTTGTTAATTTGCCCACTAATTTGACATATATTTACTGAGCAGCTACTTCGGGCCAGGGAAATACAGATGTAAAAATAGTGCAGGTCCTCAGGAAGCTCGCTAGCGGCTGAAAAATAAAGAGCCCGTCCATACAGGAAGAAGTGCTGAATTGAAGATTCAACGGGGAAGTGGGCGTTTTCCAGGGACTGGGAGGGATGGGCAGCATGAGAACGCAAAGGACAAGCATTCTGTCCAGATGAATCGGGACGAGCAACCAAGCATTTGAAGAAGTACTTATGACCCGGACAAAGCTCAACATCATTTCACGTTCAGAAGAAATACCAATCATGATACTCAAAACATAATAAAAATTTTAAATCTTTATTAAAGTATTGATAAATAGGAGGTAATTAGAGAAACTATATTCCTAAAACATGACTCTTCTTAAAGTTTCTTTTCCCAACCTTTCTTTCACTAAGGTATACACCAAAATTCTCCTAACACTTGGTCCTTTGCTCAGTCCCACCCTCCCATGCTACTTTTTATTTTTATGTTTGGTTTGGTATTTATTATGGTATACTAAGCATCCATTAAATTACATAGGGAATATATAAAGAATATCATGATATATATGTACACAATCAACTCTGTATAATCTTAATGTAATCTTATTTTACTAAGAACTAATTAATGTGGATATAACTAAAGTCTACTATGGATCGTGTCCTGACTTTACTACCCCTTCCTCATGTCCCCAGAATCACCACGATCTGACCTTGTCAGATGTTCTTTAATCTATCCATTGTATAACCATATCAGTGATACCTAAAATGTTACGTATTTTCAGGTCTTGAAGTATGCTTGCATTCCTGGGGCAAACTCTGGATAAACTGACAAATGGATGGAAGGATGGATGTCGATTGACAGGTACGTAGGTAGATAAACAGACCAATACACAGACTCTGAACTAAATTTGCTAATAGAGTGTTTCACATTTGTGTCCACAGGTGAGACAGGACTATAGTTTTCTTTTTATATACTATTCTCGTTGGCTCTTAGCAGCAACACAATACGACTTAAAAACTGGGTTAAGTAACTCTCTCCAATTCTTTGAAAATAGTTAAAGGACTCTTGGAGTTCAAAGAAAATTCTCTTCTGCAACTGTCGGGGCCTGTGTCTCAGGACATTCCCCTTCCGGAGTCAGAAGGCAGGGGATGAAGGTGTAGAGGAGGAACAAGGTGGAGGAGGCAATATTTGTCATTATAAATTCATTTTTTATTATAGCTGCTATTTAATTATTTCTTCCCAAGTCACTTTTGACAACTTACAATTTTAAAATCAATATCTACTTTATCTATGTCATGAAATTTATTGGTAGGAAGTTCTTTACACTATTCTCTTTTGCTTAAAAACTTTGTCACCTTAGCCAGTGTGCAGTTGATTAGAGCATCGTCCCAATGTGTCAAGGTTGCAGGTTCAATCCCCAGTCGGGGAACATATAAGAATCAACCACTGAATGCATAAATAAGTGGAACAACAAACTGATGTTTCTCTCTCTGTCTCCTCTCTCTCCCCCCAAACAAACAAACACCTTCTCAATTATCAGTTGCTATAATCCCTTTAAATAGTGTTCACTTGTGCCTTCTCTAATATTATTTTTCACATCTTTCTTGATCAGTTTTACTAGAAATATATACTTTACCAGATTTTCAAGAAAAACCCCACTTGTTTTGATCTTATTATTTTATTGCTTTCTGTTTCACTAGTTTCTGCTGTTATTTTTCCACGTTCTATAGGTTTCATCTCTATTCTCTTTTTCTTTGTTTTATTTTTAGGTTATCAGGTTGAACACACCTCAGTTTCATTATTTTGTTATGGGAAGCACTGCCAGTCACAAAGTTAATATCCATGTTCTTTTCTTCTTTAATATATACAGCCTGAATTTTAACCAAGTAGCAATGTGCTTGTAACTTGTTAATGTCCATCCAGGAACCCAGGAAGCTCCTGGCTTTCAGCTTCATTCATGACTTAGTTTAAGTCCTCTATGCTCACAGGGGCCAGAAGCCTGCTTCTGGAAGCAGCTACTGATTTCAGCCCAAATTATTGCATTTTGATTCCATTACCTGTCCACAGAGATATCTATCCTTCCAGAGCCTAGTTTTGTCTCTTTGGTTTTCTATTTGTTTATTTATCCATCATAGCTACCTATTTGGTACAGAGGGATTTAAAAAGTGAACTTCTGAGCCAGCTTCACTGGAGGTCAGCTCTCCGCTCTTTCTGATATTATCCATCCAGCTTTCCTGGTCCCTTTCAGCACGCTGCTCTCTATACATTAATTAAATCAATACCAAAAAGGGGCCCTCAGAGTTCACTATGCCAACCAAGAAATCGGCTTCATGGGCTTCTGAGTATCTTCAGATGTTTTGTTTGAATGTTTCTCCTGTTCTCTTGCTTTATCATTCTACGCCACTGGAGGAGAGGCAGCCAAAGGCAACCACAGGGCACGCTCAGGGCGCAAACCAGGAGAGGCCTCGGCCCGGCAAGCTGAAGACCCTTAGCCTTCGATTAAAAAGCCACTGAACAATCCTGGATAAAGGGGTGACATCAGATTCATTCGCTGCTAGAAAGGTCACGATACTAGCAGAAGGGACCGTAGACTGTGAGGGAAAACAACGCAAGCAGAACCAAAAGACAGCTCCTGCAATGATCAAGGGGAAAACAAAAAGTACCAGTGGTGGCAGAGGGTCGTTCCTTCCACCAGTCAGTCATTCACGGCATAAAAACTGAACATCTAGACTACGTGGCGCTATGCTAATATGAATTAATGAATTAATATGAATTAATTGGGATGAGAAAAGCAAAGTCTCTGTCCTTATTGACCTTAAAGCCTACTAAACAGAAATTAGAAATGTAAAGGCTACGAAATCAATTGAGAACTTTATAGACAGAGAGATCAGTATGTTTAAGAACCTAAAGCAAGTAGAAACTCGTAGATTTGTATTTCAAGGATAGGTAATTGGGCTGGAACTCTATGAGTCAAGAGGAGAATGGTAGAAAATGAGGCGAGAGGCAGGAAAGGGCCAGGTCATAGATGGCTCTATTGGTTTTATTCGCATTTCCATTTTTATCCCTTGAACAGTGGGAACATACTGAAGACAGGGTATAAGCCACAGAGTAACCTGATTAGATTTGGGGTTTTAGAAAACCACTCGCAGAGCATATGGAGAAGGCTGGAAGGGAGGTGATCAGTTAGGAGGGGACTGTACAAATGAAAGGGAGAGATCAGGTCGGTGTGTTGCTGGGCTGTGGAACAGGAGATGCACGAAGTGAACAGCTTCAAGATCCGTGGTGAGTTTGGGGTGGTTGATGGTAACACACTGCAGAACAAGTTTAGATATCCTGCCCTGAATTCTTTTAAGAATCCTAATTAAATAAAACAAAACAAAATCCTTGCAAGAAAGGCAGGCTTTTCTGAAAGCTGAGTAAAAAACCACCTAGAGCACAAAGCTTTTAAGTGTACACTTGAAATTCCAGACACTCCTTCACCTGTGCTGGAAGGCAGAGTGGAATGTGGGCAAGACCTAGGAAGAGTCTAAGAAATGGAAGTGGGGGGATATTATACAGAATTTAAAAAGTGGAAGCGAATAATTGATATCAAAGCACTTAATGAAAAATGGGGGGATGTTTC